TATACTGTAACCATTTTGTTTAAATATAATTACATTTATTAAATTTAAAAGTACTAATTAACATTTACCTGACATGTATCTTATATATCCAAAAATATATAAATTATATTTAAATAAGTGAATAAGTAATAAGTAACATTTGCTTCTGATTTGATGTGTCCATCTACGATTAAAACATAATACATAATAAAATAGCATATATCTATATATCTATCTATGATAATAATAATAATAATAATAATAATAATAATAATAATGGTAATAATTTACAAAACATAAGAAACACAAATTACTCATGTACTTATGTTTAAATACTCCAAAAAACACTGTATATTAAATATAATTTAGTAATCAATTAACATTTTCTGAAATATTTTGGTAATTATCTTTAGATCCAGAAAAGAACTAAAGAAGTGAATTATAAGAAAGAGAGAGAGGCCTTACCTCAGTGCAGCAGAGAGAAGGAGAGCCAGTGCAGGCCAGATCAAAGACAGGGGTTATGTACTTCAGGAGGAGGGGCCTCCCCCAATTCTGTCGCCATTAGAGCCTGTTGTCATGGTGACAGAGGTCCTTGTCATGTGTCAATCTTCCCTGCTTCCATGAACGCACGTCATCGAGGTTAATGAAACAACTTCAATCATTTTTAAGCAGTGATTCAAACATGATGGAGGTGAGGTTGTTCAGATGGATTGTGTTAAGACGATGTTTTCAGTGCTGTGATTTCTACTTAATTTGCTTTTGATTGTAAGTTATATAATTAAAACATACCACTTCATAAATAATAATGTTTAATATAACAATTTTTGCAGTTTGCGACGCATCTATACTCACCGTAACTCATTAAGAGCTCAATGGAGAGCGTGAACACGAGGAAATGACTAATAATGGAAAACAATGTGGACATTGTTTGCTGACAGTCTTTGATGTTTTTCTATTCTCCTCTGATGTGAATGGTTTCCTCCTCCCGTGTGGAGTGTGTATGGAGAGTGTGTGAAGTGTTTTTGATGATTTTTCATCCACTGAACCATCTTGTTAAACACGACACTGTATGTTTAACCGTTCATATGCCAACCTGACGCCTGGCAAGGGAGCGTCTGCCAAGAACATAAATGTAAACGTAAAAACCTGTTCTGACTGAATAAGGACACAGTGAGGCACTTTATACATGATCCCTAAATACTGAAAGAAGCTGCTACACGTAGCCTACGGCTTATTATCGTAATATTATAATTTTTTTACTGATGCATTTAACAGAAAAACACAGATACCGAACATTATTTGATATATTTACCTTTGTTTATGGCATAGTAGAACGATTTTGAAATAAAATATTATTTTTAAATTTCTGAGGAAGTGACAACGAAGTAGCCTACTTCTGATAAAACGATTCAAACAGGTAAGTCTCTTACGGTGTAATTATTCAATATTTCATTATTTCCACACTTATAATGTATAGCTCAATACTTTAGCTTTGTTACGTGTCAAAACAGTGAATAGTTTGTAGGCATAAAGTATTTTTTACCAGCAGCACTGATCTTCAACTCCGTATCATTCCCCAAAACATTTTGAATGTGACGAAGAATTGAATGGCTATTGTACAAAACATGGTTTGGAAGACTGTTATGGTGACTTGTAATAACGTTTGATTTATTACGCCAAAACTGAATGTATACTAACAGTATTTACTTCATTATGAATGCTGTGTACTATATAATTCAAGAGGTGAATTGGCTACTGAGAAAGCCATACTGTAGCCTATATTCTAAATATTAACTCTTATATGGCCCACCACAGTCCCAATTGTGAAAACTTTATTTCTTGAAGGTTCAACAATGAACTTAAATGAAGTTATTAATAAATCAGTACTGACATTTTCAGCAGAAAATGGTATCGTTGACGTTTCCTGAAGCTGGGCCATAACTGTTGGAGAGCATCTCAGGAACACTGGAGGAACCATCAGATCTTTGTCCAATCAGACAGGGGGACCAGCACTATGTCATCCACTGGTTCATCAGGAGAGCAGCAGTTTCCTTATATGGTCAGTGCAACACCACATATGAAGTGTTTCATTACAGAGATAAAGAGGGAGATGGAACGAGAGAGTGTGAGGCTACTGGGAGGAGGTTCACTCTACATTATAAGAGACGTGTGTGCACACATAGAAACACAAATAGACACACGATAATGGTTTATATACATAATTCTTTATTAGTTCTGTGCTCAAGAGTCAGCACTTCATGTTATAAGTGACTTCCTAAAAAACAAGATGACAGGTCTTCATCACTGCATGGCTGCATCACTACAAGAAAGGAAAGACTGAAAATTATTAATTTTGTATGTTGTTTGCATTCAAGTAAAATTCAATTCCATTTAGACCCGATAAAATGTTTGTCTTTTACCAAATGTTTATCAGATATATGTACGGAAGCTATATATGTATGGAAATCAGACATTTTTTATTTCTGCAAAAAATGATGTCTCACAATTCTGTCTTTCTTGC